ATGCACTTCAGAGCTCAATGTGCCAAGAAGCAGGGAATGGAGGGGGTGTGTGTCAGCAACTCGAGAAGCTCCGGCTCCTTTCACGGATGCTTACGAAGAGAATGTCCCTCCAGATTGGAAAGAGGACTGTATTTTTATTTCGTGTATGCACTTCAGAGCTCAATGTGCCAAGAAGCAGGGAATGGAGGGGGTGTGTGTCAGCAACTCGAGAAGCTCCGGCTCCTTTCACGGATGCTTACGAAGAGAATGTCCCTCCAGATTGGAAAGAGGACTGTATTTTTATTTCGTGTCTCATGCTCCCAAGTGACTAACCCTGAATCAGGGAAGGTGAGCCACCCCAACCTTCCACTCCATTGAGAGCCAGCAGGATGATGGAAGGCGGAGGCCCAACCTGGACGTTTCGAGGCAGCAAGCAGGAAGATGCATCAGAGACATGGCCTTCTCGCTGATATGCTAGCTTGTGCATGTGTGTGCCTGCATGTAGACAGCTGTAAAGTTTCCTCCTATGGACCAGTTCTGCTATCTTGGCAGTGCCACTGCTAGATGAGAAAGCCAGCATCCCCCTCCCCATCACAACAACCAGCGGTGTACACCTGCTGCCTTAAAGAGAGTGCACTGAAGCCTTAAGGCAAGCTCTTCCTGCAGGACCATCCTCTAAGAGGCAACTCCACGAAAAAGGTCTCGGTTGTGGACTGCAGAGAAAAGCTTATCTCAGGCACGGGGGTGTGTGTGGAGAGAACAGTACTGCTAAAGGCTCAGTTCCAAGGAATGACACAGGAAGGGCCTGTCCACTTGGGGCTGTCCTTCCTGCCCACTGCTCTGGCCGGCTGGAGCTCTTCGTCAGCATCTAAGGGAGAGAGAGAGAGACAGAGAGAGAGAGAGAGAGAGAGAGGCCTTCTCCTCCTCTCCAAACGGTTACTTATCAACTCGAAAGGCTGAGGACGGAACCCCGAACCTCTTGTACGCCCAGCGCATAAAAGCAGGAACCAGTCTGAAACAATCAGGGGGATGGTTTCGTTGAGGGGAAAAAAAATAATTCATTTGCAGGTAGATATTGACGTTTTCCAGAAAGGACTTCACAGCATCATATAAAGTATCTGAGGATTAGCACTAAGACGAGAATCCGTAATATTAATAACCGAGGTCATGTCAGAATGCCAGCTTGGGAGTCTCAAGGCTCATCGTAACGTACAGATCCGACAGGAGGCCCGCTTGGCGCATGTCCACCTTCTACTACTCTAAGGCTGTTAACGGCAAAGGGCAATGGCCCCGTTGGCCACAGGAGAAATAAAAGCACCACAAGAAAAGCTGGAGACATCGTGGAGGGAGAACGGCTTCAGACATAAACACAGCAGCAGCAGCAGCAGCAGCAGCGAGAGCGACAGAAGGCCAGAGAAAAATAAAACATGTCTTTTGACAGGATTACAAAGCAGGCCCCAGGCAGACCTCTCTGCGGACTGTGTTCTATAACTGGAGTTTTACACCTGGAGGAGCCTACTCTTGAGGAGTCCCTTCCGCATCAGGGTACTCAGAGCAAGGCATGCTGTCATGACTTGCAGAGGTCTCTTGAGCCCCCAAACATGCGGGACATCACAACGGGGTTTTCGTGAGCTATACCTTCAGGTCCCTGTGGACTATCGGAGACTTCAACTGGTGCAGCCTGGCCACGGCCTCGCAGGTGTCACAGAAGATCTGCAGGACTTCGTTTTCCGTGAACCCTGTCTGCAGGCGCTGATTCATCAGGTTCACCACCTGGCCCCCTAAAAGGGAGAAAAATTTACAGCATTGCCCCATAGATGTTCTATTCCGCCCCCCGCCCCCCAGGGCTCCCAAGGTTATGGGCAACGGATGAAAATAATGAAGAACAGATTTTAAAGCAAATGAAACAATCTCTCTGTTATGGGATAGACCTGGAAAGCAACTTCATATCCTGGCTTGTTCTGTTTTTGTTTGAAACGGGAAACCACGGTTAGTAAAACAATCCATGGTTTGTTTGCTTCTGCTATAAAGGAGATGTATATGTGCCCAAAAGGCTCACTGATACATTGGTTTCTTAAGCCAAGGTGTGATTGTCTCTAGATCAGCTCTGTGATTCAGCCAGACATCGGACTCTGCCGGCACCTGGCTGTCACACGTAGGACTTTTGCCATCAGGTCCATGCAAAACAGGACAACAATGAACATTGACACACCTCTGCAAAAATCCATTAGGATCAAGACTTCCCATACATCCCCGCTGCTCACAGAGTTTATACTGGAGTCGATGTAACCAACGATGTTCTTGTGCCCCACGAGATCCCTCTGAAAGAAGTAAAGACAAAGAGGAAGGGCTCATTGCCAGCCACAACTGGACATTTCTACATGCAAGAGAACATCCTTCATGACGGAGCCCTACTCTCAGAATTGCACTCTCTGTGCCTTTGAGGGCCCCAAAAGATAAGTCTGCTTTCTCTGTGCTTCTTCTCACTCCCCAGGTATCCAACGAACCCGTTAGGACCAAAACAGATTCTTCCTTTTTGGCCATTACCCCATCCAGCGGCTGTAACCCTTTTCTAGAAAGCCCAGGCCATACACTTTGTCATCTGAATTCCCCGCCTGCATGCCATTTTACTCCTAAATATAAAGAAGCGCCTATTCTTTTTAAGGATTTAAAGCCTGGTTTGCAGTGGTTCTGAGAGCAGTCGTATTCTTTTCCCCTCGGTCTGCTGAGCAGGCAGATCAAAATTCAAGATGGTACCTCTCTAACCGCTCTCTCTCTCTCATCTTGGACCCCAGGACTGGCTTACCATAATCTGGATCTCCCGTTTGCAGACCTGCAGGTCGTGTTCGTTGTTGACGTACATTCGTTTGAGGGCGCATTTCACGCCGTTGTTGGTCCTCACCAGGAATACGATGGCAAACCCGCCTGTCGACAAAAGACACACAACAGCTCAGTCAGGGATTTGGAAGAGTCCAACGAGGACTCCCCTGTGAAAGTCCAACGAGGCAAAACAGGTTTCTCCCAGATCTCGTATTGCACTTTCAGCTGGAATATGCCATTAAGCAGCTCATCCTCAGTCTTGCAACCTTCTCAGCTTTATGATTAATCTCTTAGTGTTTTTTTAAAAAATATGACTTAAAGATTTAGACTTTCCTAGATCAACAGCTCTGGCATCTACCAACTCAAGGGGCAAGGCTTTTAGTATTGCTCGGCTACGGCAGGAACAAGGAGATCTGAAAGCCTTTCAAGCTTCAAAACAGAAGACACTTCTAAAAAAAAATGGGATTGCCATTTGTAAAGAAGGACACATGGCCAAACAGATCAGAGGAGTTTTCTGTTCTCTGTCATTTCCAGGGCGATAGACAAAAAATGGATCACACCTTTACAAATGTAAAGCTCCTTGAATGAATTTTTATGAGTGTTAATCCCCTGAATGAAGTTTATGAACAGCATTGTTATACTATTATTGCCATGTTTTAAAACTCTTAATAAAAAATATTTTTGAAAGGGAGAAGGCCCTGTTCACTTCTCCAGGTAGTCATTCCTGTTTTTCAAAATGGTTAAAGAAATAAAACAGAAATATAAGTTGAAAATAACCATAGTAAAAGGTAACATTTATGCAACTGTTACTCCAGCACTGAAATGATCTTCTTGATACAAAACCACTGTGGATTTCTCAGCGAACAACCTCTCTTTCCTCCCAGCTTGCCTTTGGTTGCTCCTTTTGTAAAGGAATTCAAACAAAACCTTTTCTTGTACAATGACACGGAAGAGGCTATTTGCACCTCCGGGATTTTGCAAAATCTGATCTCCTTCCATTTACTGTATCTCTCCCACGGGAAACGTTACTGTCCTGACTCATTAATTGGGCTCTAAAGAAAGATAAGGGTTTATGAAGTCAAAATGCAACCATCATGACTTGTACCTATTTTAGAGCTGGTATGGGGTGCGTGGGCTATATTTCAACTCTTGGCCTTGATTTGAGATACATAGGAACAGATTTCAGCTGCCCACAAAAAAAACCAATTGAAATATATTTGCTTTCTAGAGCACACTGAACAACATTCATTCCACAAAGTGGGGGGGGGGAACCCCCTGCAGCAGAAAAACCAGCTTGCTTTTGCCTGTTACCAGGATGAGAAATCTCATGAGAACCATATGTAGATTACCCTAGACGTCTGGAGGTATAGCAGGGGAATGGCTCTCTCATAACTGTGACCCTTCTCAAAACTAAACCTGGAGAACTGGGGCCCTTAACACTCCAAGGGATCTGTCTTTAGCAAACACAAGGGTAAGGTCCACCTGCGCTGAGTGAAGCTCAAATGCTACACGACTATGAGAATCACCATTCGTAGGTGCGATTCGTGCGTGCCCAAAAAAGTGACTCATGCAAAGAGACAATGGGGAACCCAGTTCCAAACAAGGATGATTCTGTTGTGCCTCTGGTTGAGGATTTATTCTGCAATCCATCCAGCTAGGGTATAGCCAGGCCAGAATTACCCATCTTCAGGGGAGACTAACCGAGAAGAGGCAATGCTTTCTGTAGCAGCAGCAGCAGCGAGAGAAATAATAGGCATTTTCTTTCTTGCAGGCAAGACAGCCGATTCCATTCAGCAACGGCCTCTAGGCAATGCTTTCTGTAGCAGCAGCAGCAGAGAGAGAGAGAAATAACACACATTTTCTTTCTTGCAGGCAAGACGGCCGATTCCATTCAGCAACGGCCTCCCTCTCTCTCCGAAGGACAGTCCTTGTTATCTCTTGATCAGCCAGAGCAGCTTATGCATGGCTACACACTTTTTCTAGAGATTTAGTAAAAAGCAAAAGGGAGAGGCCTACAGGGGACACGTTTTCTATCAGAACAATCCCAGCCATGAACATATTGATAGTAATAGGCAATTAGGCAAGATTGTTCCTGGGCCACATGGTGCTTTCCTGCTCCATTAATTTGTATTATGCAGAGACACCCGGCGTACACGTACAGAAGGACACCATTAAAAAAAATACTAGTTCTTTTTGCACAGGGTCAATTCTCAGGACTCTGTCTTGTTACTTCTCGCACTGATAAATCCTACCCTTTTCCTGAAGAGAACAAAGCACCATCTTCCATCAGCATTAGGAAAAAAGCACCACCTGTGTTCGCAGAATATGTCCATTAAGCAGGGACCGAGAGATTTCTGACAGCAACTCACTGAATCCTAGAAACGTGGCATTTTTTGCACAGGGTCAATTCTCAGGACTCTGTCTTGTTACTTCTCGCACTGATAAATCCTACCCTTTTCCTGAAGAGAACAAAGCACCATCTTCCATCAGCATTAGGAAAAAAGCACCACCTGTGTTCGCAGAATATGTCCATTAAGCAGGGACCGAGAGATTTCTGACAGCAACTCACTGAATCCTAGAAACGTGGCGTTGGGAGGGGCCTCGAAGGCCATCAAGTCCAACCCCCTGCTCAAGGCAGGAATCGAACTCAAAGCAGATCGGACAGGTGGCTATTCAAGAGAAATTTTTTTCCTTTCAACTTAGTTATTCTAGGATCCTCTGATGGTCCTGAGGAAGCCCCCATTTCTGAACTCCAAGCTAAAGGATGAGGATTCTACACATAAACACACACTTACATACACTCACAAAGGGAGGGGGCGGGGGGGCTTGGTCTTCCTAAGAGAAAAGCCTCTCTCTTTTCTGGATGGTGTTGCCTTAGAACAATATTTTTCAACCTTTGATACTGACATTAATTGATATCTCTAAGGGCTTTTGAAAAGAGAGAGAAAGCTACTTAGAATGAAATATTAACTACAATTAATTTAACAGTTAAAGAAGGTGAAATAGTTTTGAAGTTTGTAAAAGAAGCCAACTAAGAGGAGGAACTGTGAACTACAGATTAATACAAGTGATATTTCTCCTTAGATTTTTTTCTCTTTATTATTGTATGGGTTTCTACACTTGAGATAATTAGGTAGTTAAGATAAATATGAAATATAATCTGCAAGGATAAGAAGGATCAATCATGTAATTAAACTGAAAAAGGTGCTTAACATTTTTAAAGAGAGGAAATATTTTTCTTCAGACAGAAATTCATCATTTGGTTAATGTTTATTAAGCAGGCGGTTAACATTCAAGAGCAGCCACAATCTGGGATTCTTGTTTGTTTGTTTAAAATCACTTAAACAAGAGCATCTGGTCGAGGAGGAGATTTAGACGGGAAAGGTCCATGTGGACATGTTCTATTATGCTCTGATGACAACCTAAATAATGTCTAGAAGAAGGCTTCTAAAAGATACTGATTTAAACAGGCGAAGGAGTGATAACTGTTGGAAGTGATAAGGGTGATAATAAATGCCACAAACTGATTAAATGTATATGGTTATCGCTCATAACAAATTTATTTATAGTTGGCAAAGAAGAGGAAAGCATGAAATCCTCTTGCTTAGTTCAGGAAGGTGCAACTAGAGTAGGCCCACTGAAACAGTGGGGATTTGGGGAGTCAACTTTTCCAAAGGTTCCACAGATTCAATAGGGCTACTCAAATCATGACTATAATATGAAACGACAACATTAATAAAACAACCCAGTCCCCAAAACCCAACCAACAGTAAGTCTTGACTAGAGTAGGCCTGTTGAATCAGTGGAGTCCACACCTACGTAATTTCCAGCGATTCATGGTGCCTCCTTTAGTTGTGACAGACAACTGGATTTTAGCCATTAAACAGCACAGGGTGTTCATCGAGACAACAGATGTAAAGGGTTTCCCCAAACAAGAGAACGTGATGGAATGGGTGAAGAAGGGCTGTTTTTAGAACTCCAGAGCCAAAACGGAATATTTGGATCTGCCATGAGCAGGAGGAAGCGTCCCACAGCCAGAAGCTGCTTCTGTGGGATGGGGGGGGCATCTCCCTTTCCTCCCTGTAGCCTCTTCTTGCATTGTTCCTGGGGCTGCTAGCAGAAGAGGTAAAATTCCTGATGTTTAGCAAAGTTTTGGGTTTAGGCCAAGAACTTTAGCAGTATCTTTTCTTTTTTCTTTTTTTTAAACTAATTATTTCATTTTGCAAGATATTAGGAGGTAGAAATATTCTAAGGAAAAAAAATCCAGTGTTTTTTTTTTAACCTGCAGTATCATGCACTTTCAATTTCTGAATGCATGATACATTTTTAAAAAGTGTAGCCATCCTGGGATCCATTCTATAAGGAAATCACAACATGAGTTCTTGAAATACACTATCTGTTTTAAAAACAAAGGGAACAGATACTAAATGATCCACTAGAAGTGAAACAAGAATGGAAACATATCCTTCAACTGCATAAGGCTGTATTATCAACAGGAATAATAACCATTTAGCTACTTTGTAAAAGGCTTTCCGCTCAGGGCCAAAAAAAAACAAAACCTGTATGTTTAAAGAGGTACTTGGCCTACAAATATGATTTGTTTGATGTATTCGCGAAGGCTTTCACGGCCGGGATCTAATGGTTGTTGTGGGTTTTTCGGGCTTCTTGGCCGTGTTCTGANGGCACACAGAGACTGGCGAAACGTTAGGAAGAACCACTTTCAGAACACGGCCAAGAAGCCCGAAAAACCCACAACAACCATGATTTGTTTGCTTGGCCCTGTTGATTTTTCACCCCTCTTTTCCTTTAAGAGTCGTGTGGCTGGCTCTTCATTTTTATTGCTCCTTGATATTTAAAGGCTTATACATATTAATTTTATTTTTCAACAGCAGATTTCACGATGAGCTGAATATGTAGACGTTTTCAATGGAAATGTTTAAATAAATGGTAACCCATTTGGAAAGCCCATGACACTTAGCTCTAACAGTTCTCTAAAAGTAGCCAGATGAAAGGAAAAGGAGAAACGTCCACCAGCCCCATTTGGTAAATCACCTGGCTGACTCAGACTCAAAGACCTGTCAACAACCTTGCCAGTTTACTGCGTTAACTTAGAAATCCAGCTTCTGGACTCCAGAACCCAGAAGGACCCAAAAGACCAGCCCCAGTTGTCAAGAAGTGGCGTCCATTCCAGATCAAGTCAAGACTGGACAGAGATCAAATGCACATTACAGATTCTTCATTCTGTTCCACATTTATCTCTGCTTCCAATATTTCCCCCCAACCTCCTGCTGCTTCTTCAGTTGCAAATGATCACAAGGGACCATTTTCAGCAGCACCGGTGTTACTAATTCATTTTCCAGAAGTAGGAAATTAGAAAATACTTCTGCCAGATTAAACAGCCGTTTCTGGAATTCAAGTGGATCATCAGCACTTTCAGACTTTAGTCTTCCATTTGAGCAAGCAACCCACCCACACCCACCCCACCCACGCCTCGAATCCTCCTTTCTGCTTAAAAAAAAAACATGCTGAGCAAACAGGTTTTTCCTACACGAAAATAACAGCTTTCAAACCTAAACTGCTCAGGAGCATTCAGGCATCCAAGAGGTGGTGGAGAGCAGAACATGAACAGCCTCAAATTCATCTGTGCTGGGAGGAGAAACTTTTACAGCCTTCATTTATAAGACCGCTGGAGGCAAACAAAATGGGATCTCCCAACCTGAGCAGGAAGGGCGGCTGGCTGTCCTTCCGCTCTCTGATCCTGCACCAGGACCAGCGACGATAAGACGAAAGCCAAAGCCAGAATCAACCCAGCCAAAGTAGCCGATCGCAGGGTGGGGGGGCAGAAGCCAGTCCTCCACAATGGACTGCTGATGAAGAGGCTGATGGGGCTTGAACCCAAGAAACCAGGTTAAGAGCAGGGGGGGAAATCAGTTTTGCTCACATGTGTCCTCCTGGTTCCTCTGACGTGTGTGCCATGGGCTGGAGGTGGAATTCCAGAAGGCTATTAACATTCAATATCACTCGGAATTCCAGAAGGCTATTAACATTCAATCTCACTCATTCCACACAGTGGTCCCCAACCTGGCGCCTCCAGATGTTCTTGGACTACAACTCCCAGAAGCCTTCACCACCACCTCTGCTGGCCAGGATTTCTGGGAGTTGAAGTCCCAGAACATCTGGGGGCCCAAGGTTAGGGACCACTGATTCAACACATTGTTGTTGTTGCTGCTGTAGCTTTTTAATGCATGCCACTGAAGTTGGGTGGTCAGAACAGGGCCACGTGACCATGGAAACTGTCTTTGGACAAACGCTGGCTCTATGTCTTGGAAATGCGGATGAGCACCACCCCCTAGTGTCAGACACGACTGGACAATTTGTCAAGGGGAACCTTTACCTTTACCTTATCACTCATTCCACATTGTTGTTGTTGTTGTTGTAGCAGCTTTTTAGGAAAAGGAAAAGACCAGAAACCGGGCCTTCTCGGCGGTGGCTCCTCGCCTTTGGAACAACTTGCCCCCTGAGATTCGCGCGGCTCCCTCGCTGGGCATTTTTAAGAAACAACTAAAAACATTGATGTATAGGCAGGCCTTCCCAACAGAAAACCCTTGACGATCTTTCTCTTATTCTGTTCTTTATTTTCATTTACGCCTCTGCTGTAAAGTTTTAAAATTGTATTGTTTTTTACTGTAAGCCGCCTAGAGTGGTCTAATATGATCAGATAGGCGGGATAGAAATAAAATAAATAAATAAATAAAATAAATAAATTTTAATGCATGCCACTGAAGCTGGGTGGTCAGAACAGTATCACTTCTGTTGGCGGCCCATCCACTCCACTGACCAGCAATCTAATAACAGATGCTTTAGGGGTTTCTTTTCCAAGATGGATAAAGGTGAACAAGCTTGTGCCGAATCCAGATACAGAGAGGCAGCTCATGAGTGCAAAGCACAGATTGGGGAGTCAGATTCAGGGAGACGGATGTTCGCGCTGGGTGTTTGTTGCATCAGCTGGGACTGCTCCTGAGTCAGCCTGATGTGTGGCAATAGTTATTTGTGTCTCCACGGCAGCATGGTTGAACTAGCGCCACACACTCTACATGGCGCTGCCCAAAAGCTTCTGCTGGTACAGAAGGCGGCACCAACGGGCACAGGGCATCAGGATCACACAGCGTATCAGGATCACACTGCCATGGTACTACGGGAACTGTCTTGGTTGCTGATGGTTTTCTGAATACAATCCAAAATGTGGATTTTAGTCAGCAATGCTCCTCTGTTCGTGGCCTAGCGATCAAAGGGACCCCCTGTCTCAACAGAAACCTGTCAGTTTAAGATGGGCAAGGAAGATCCTTCTGAGGATGGTCCTGGCTGCAGAGGCCCCCCTGTTGGTCACGTGGGGATGGACTTTCTCATGTGCAGTGGTTCCCAGATTCCGAGTCAACACTCATTTTGCATTCAGGAAGTGGGTCAAAGTGCCTCTTTTGAACCTGGCTTTTAAGAAAGATTTGCCTGACCATCAGGTGGAGTGAGGATATGGCGCTTGTCTGCCCACCACACCATCACCATGATCCGAGCCTTACCCGCATTTGGGCCTTTCCTTCAAGACCTAACCCAAAGTCTGCACAGGTCAGAAAGTCACCGTGTCGGTGTTGCCTTCTCAGAAATTCTTCCCAGTCCATACAGGGTGTCATTTACGACAATTCACTAGTGTCAACTTCATCTTCAGGACCAGTGGTGCCCAAGACCTCCCGGACTTTAGCAATTGAGGCAGAAGTCAAAACAGACAACCAGCCTGTTGTGCGCATGACATGATTGTGACATTTATCCCCAAGTGCTTGGGATCTGTCCCTACGCTATGCCGGTTCAATAAAAGTCTAACTCTGACCCAAATAAATTGAATAAAAACACATTTTTTAAAAAACAGCTGCTCAAGAAAAGCAGGTCAGCCGGCTACCTAGATGGGAGATTGCCAGAGGCCACAGGAAAAAAAGAGCAGGATGTTACCCAAGTCAAGATGCTATCTCTCTAGGCTTGAGGAGAAGATGTCCCTCATGTGTGACAGTGAAGTCAAAATCTTATCTCCAAGCACCTAGCAAGCTTTCTCCAAGATCTTTTGACTTACCAATGAAGCACCTTCACCTTTTTGAAAACAATTCAGAACCAGTTTTTCAACAAGATCTTTTTTTATTTAGGAAAATTAAATTGTTTGATACAATTCCTCACCTGCTCCTCTGCCTACTGGGGAGAGGAGGAGATAAAAACTCTGCATCATTCAGACGGTAAGCATACATTTTCTGAGAGAGACAGAGCAGAACTGCCTTCCCTTTCAGTCCATCACATAAAACACCTCATTGCTGTTCTCTCTCTCTTTTTTTTTCCTACCGAGGTTGAAAGATATGACGGTTGACACATTGCACCTTTTCCTCTAAGATCAATCCATTTAAGGCAGCTGGAAACTGTCAGTTCTTTCACAAGGTGGAAATTATCTCGGCCATTTGGCCAATTTCAGTGTCTCTCTGTTAGCTTGGCTTGTCCCCTCCCAGGGGGCAGCCAATACTGTATCTTAGGCGGTTTTCAAAGAAGATGGGCTTGATACTCGGCTGCATCAAAACAACAAAAGAGTCGGGTGGTGCCTTTAAGATTAGCAGACTTATTATAGCACGAGCTTTTATGGATTACGAACTCCTTCCCTCAGATCCATCCATGCATAGGTCTTAAAGGTGCCCTACAAGCTCAGCCAGGCCGTCCATGCCCTGCTGGCACTCAGCGGAGAAAAGCCCATGGAATAACTTCCCGAGTCCGGTCTCCGTGGACTTCTAATTTCTAAACACAGCTCAGGGATGAAGATGGGAAGAGCAGCTCTTCTCCCACGGCCAGGAGGGCCTTTACAACTCCCTCTGTGTCCCAAATCTTTCAGCTTGCCCTCCTCTGAATTCTATTACAAGCCCACCTTCTGTAGAATGGATTTGGAGAACTGACTCAAGACTGGAGAGGCAAAGAACCTCCTGTAAGAGCAGGAGGATGTAGAGACAATAAATATTTATAACACTCATAGCAACACACCCTACATCTGGCCTGATACCAGATGTTTAGATATTGCACCAAGGGTGTTAGTCACTCCTTGAGTGACCCATTCAATCCGCCAGCTTCCAGTCACAATTAGCTAGGTAGAGATGGGCGCGAACTGCTGCTTTTACAGTTCGTGCCAGTTCGTTTATTGGTTGAACAAGGGTGTGGCCTTCCAAGCCCCGCCTTCTCTGGCCAGTGACCATTCAGAGGCAGCAGCCTGACTTCCCTGCCCCATCTCTTCCGGGAGCTGCCTCTGAGTGGGCGGGGCTTTGCAGCACCGAACACTCATTTGGCCAATAAACAAACGAGCACAAACCGCAAGCTTCTGTCCATCGCTAAACAAAAACCATCACGCCAGGTTCAGAGAAGCCAGTTTCGTTGTTGCCTCACCACACAAACCGGCATCAGGATCAAACAGTACAGAAATATACGCACAACTGTCAGAAATCAGGGGCCAAATAAATGATTTGCTGAAGTCCAGAACCCAGACTTTGACAAGTCCAGAACCCAAAACAACACCTTAGAAGGTCATGGTTCTTCTTACTTCATCTTCTTGCTTACATTTGCTCTTGGCTGCCTGAGTCTGGGAAGCTTGCCGCTAACAGAGAAGGCCCACCGCTCTCCCATCCGCCCTGGAAAACCTGCAGGAAGGGCTGTCGCAGGTTTAAAAAGAAGAAGGGGGAGAAAAGGTTGGACATGCCCAGGCAGCCACTTCCTGTTTTGATTTTGAGTTTTGGGAGCCTGGGAGAGCCCCTGGTCCTTCCAGAAGCAAAACATGCTAGCTCCAGAGGGTTACAGCCACAAAAACAGGCCTTTCTCTTTAAAATATATAGGTTTTGTGGTGAGATTCATTTTTTTATTAGCTAGTGGGGGGGGGGAGCACAAAAATCAGTCTGAGGGACATACACAGCTGGTAGGTGACATGCTGCCCACGCCTGTTCTACAGGAACCACCGAGGCCACCCAGTTATCAGCTACTTGCCTACCTCGAGGCACTTCACAAAGACAACAGGTGGGAACAAGGAACAGGAAGCACTAGGTCAGTGGCTCCCAACCTCGGGCCCCCAGATGTTCTTGGACTGCAACTCCCAAAAATCCTAGCCAGCACAGCTCGTGGTGAAGGCTTTGGGGAGTTGCAGTCCAAGAACATCTGGGGACCCAAGGTTGGGAACCACTGCACTAGGAGATAACTTTTTCTGCCTCAACGCTCTTGAGTACAACTCCCATTACCCTCACCTACCATGGCCAATGAGCAAGGGTGCCATCTGGAACATCTATAGGATAACGGACTAGGAGAGGATAGCTTTCAAAACAGCAACAACAACAACCCTCTGCTCAGAACGTGGAGAGCACCAAGACAAAGAGGTCCCTTGAGATGTTAGCAGCAGCAGCAGCGACAATCGCTGGGAACACCAAGGACTCGTGTGGGACCGTTTGCTGTCGTTCCTGCGATCTCAAGGATGCTCCCCCTAGACTTGTTTTGTCTTTGAGGGAAATTCTCTCCCACAACCTCTAATCTCTTCCAGCTTTCTTCTCTGCCTTCCTCCCTGTGCTATTCTCTATTTGAGAAACCTTTCTTTTCTTCTCCTCCCACAGGCCCCTCATTGGAAGAAAGGCAGTCTCTAAACAACCCTAAATAGACAAAAAATAAATATTTCCATCTCCTGGAGAAAGATCTCTGCGCTGCTTCAGGGAGTCCCAAAATCCAGTAGGAAAAATATGGACTTGGTCCACCCTACTTTCCTGAACACTGACAAACCAGGAGTCCCTGAAGAAAACGTTCATGGAACCTGAGCGCAGCCCTCCTGATCAAAACGCATCATCCTTCTCTCCAGGTCTCAAGAGATCATTTGCAGAAACTCCCTCCCTTTCACAAACACGGCCAGGAAGCAAAGCTTTTTTTGAAATGCACTTAGGATCTGAGCAAGTAAGAGGATTTCTCCCCTCTGCCGGAGAAATGGCCCGTTAGACGGATCTTTAAAAGGATCTGCTCAAAATGACACCACTGGGAAGTGGAGAAAATACTTTAAAAGATTAACAACAGGCTGCTTTCGCTCATCAAGGCAAACGAGAGATAAACCTTTCCATTAAGAGCTCTGACCAGGCTTATATTATTCGTAGCAACTTCCCTCCAAACCTAGAGGACGCATCCTATAGTTCTGGGCTAATGTGGGAGAGCAGAGCTTCCCGCTGGCTTTGCCTCAGCCTTCCAGGTCAAGTGAAATAGACTCACTTTGGGCGTCTCGCCCTCAACGGTTGGCAAATTTGCAAAATCCTTAGGAAGGAGTAGGATGCAAATGTCAGCTAATTTTTTAAAAACCCAACACTTAATTCTGGGTATAAATAAATAAACCTTCTTTATATTATTTTAGTGCCGACACACAGAACAGAATTCAAGTTACAAAATATTGGTCACATCCAACAAAGACTTCTGTAGCAGCTTAGGGGTGGACATGTTTTGTTTTCTGGAGGTTGCGATCCATGAACACGTTTGCCAAATAAACCATGCTTAGTTTTCAGGACCACCATAAAGATGAGAAAATAACAGGAGGTGGTGTAACTCATGCTTAATTCCTTTTATTAAAAAGTGGAGGCTGTTACATTGAAAGTAGCCACACACCTGTTGGGGGAGAAGACATGGCCCGAATCTCATGCGAGGCGCTTCATACTTGGACTCATTGATGTTATGATCTCCCCAGGAGAAGAGGATGCTTTTAATTGCTTCCTATATCAAGGAATTCCTGGTTCTCGAACAGGCAAATGAAGGCTAAATCTGCCTCTCTTGCACCCAAAGGATTGCATGAAGTGAATCTCACTTACCCACCCACCTACACACTCGCCCACCTGCCCTTAAACTGGGTCAGCAAAGGGCAGCCTTCCATATGTTGACGGACTACACCGCCCAGCATTCCACACTCCTGTGCATGCTGGTGAGGGCTGATCCAAGACTACATGGAGAGCTCTGTCCATCCCACCATAGCCTCGCACGGGTGGCTTCGTCTCTTCTCCTGCAGTGCAAGCAGCAAGCAAGGCAGAGAGCCCTGTGCCCTGCAACGCCATGTGCCCATGCACCAGCAGAAACTTACAGGAGGGAAAGCAAGCTAGCAGTGGCATTCCAGGATGCAGGGCAGCTTTAGAAGAGGTCGCTGTGTGGGTCTGTGCTATCACAACAAGCAGAAACTCAGGAAAAATAAAAATAAAAATATTAAATATGACGAAAACGTTGTGGCACCTTCAGGATGTACTCCAATGCGGGTTTTCATGGATTCACATCCAGGAGAGCTCACGTTGAAATATAGCAGGTCATCCTTAAGGTGCCACAAGGTTTATGTCTTCTTTATTGTTTTACTTTGTTTTCATTTTTGCATAATGCAAGGGAGGTCTCCCCCAAGACCTGTTACTGCCCAGAAGTCCGTGTGGCTGCTCTTTCGGTCCTCATCCAGAGGAGGTCTTAAAAATGAGTTGACAGTTGGGGTTCTTAGAAGCTGCTCAGAAGTT